CTGCACTATTTTCTGAAATCTGCGATTCCGAGGAAATGATCGCGACATCTTCTGCAAAGGCGTGCACAACTTATGCTTTGCAGAGAGGGTAACTAATTAATTGAAGATACAACCGCCAACGCTCATTCCCACTGTCTTTCTTTTTCACTAGCTCTCTTCGCACGCCGAAGTAAAGGCATGAAATCATCAAACGCTAGAGAATTCTGTGTGGCTAAGTCGCATCAGTGCTTGGGTCTGAGAAAGGAAGAATTGAGGAAATATAGCTCAAATGCCTGCGTCCGCGATCCGTTGCTCATAATGGTCAATCCAGGTTTCAATAAAAAGAATAGCTAGCAGTGGAGACCAACTTTTCAGGGTATGTTTCGATGACTTGGGCTCTTGTTCATTCACACACATGCGTCCGGGCTGTGTAGCATATGGTACGGAGTGATGCATACAAACGTCGCCTAGCGGTGCAAAGGTAGCAATTAGGTGCCTACGTATGTATGCGTTGACGTATTATGCACTAGGTATTACAGGTTGTGCCCAGAAGGTAGGAAGGGAGCAGAAACTGTTTGGAAGGGCGGCGCTGAGTACTAGTTAAATCCGCAGTAAGCAATTCGCCGACATCAGCGTCTAGGGATAATGTTGTGTCAACCTTAGGTATCTAGTACAGAGTTCCGGGAGTCTATCTTGGGTGACTGTACTGCACCTTAATGTTTCCGTACAGATTCCTTTTCTTAGGGTGGGACAGCGAAGTTGTAAGGATTGGGCTCATGTCCAGGTTGATTTTCCAAGTTCCTAGGTAGCTGTATTTGTCGTTATGGAGTTCCACTTTTGTGTCATCTAGATGCCCAACGATAGATGTGGAATAGAATTAAAAAATAGATGTAAAGGGGGGTTACTTTATAACCCATAACTCCGTTCCCTCTCGCTCTCCCTCTCCAACGTATATGTATGGACGGTGAAAAGGGAGCGGACGACAGGAGAAAAAAAGGGGACGCAAGGAAAAACTGGGGAGGATAGACGGCATACATATATTTCGTTGTACCAGCATTATCGCTCTTGATAATTACTGCTGGATTTCCATACCCCTGGAAAGCCCCTATGACTTATCCGAGGGCATGCGAATGTGGCGATGCGATTGGGTTGATCATGTTCTGATCGCACTTTTCCATAGTGAGAAATGGGAAATGCCGGCTTAGTTACAATACGGTATCGTAGTTCTTCCAAGAGTTGTAGTAGATAGGGCCATTGGATGAGTGATAAAAAAAAAACATTTGAAAAAGGAGGAAGTTGATGTCTAGCCAGGTGTTGAATGCGAGGAATGGAAACTTTGAAAAATTGAAAAATGAATTTGAAGAAAGACCTTTTTGTGAATATGGAACGGCATCATTCGAAAGAGCACTGTGAAATAGATAGGGACATACATTGGAGACCAAAGGTTCTTCCGATGGAACTGCCCAGCAAGCATAGCATCTGTTTTAAAAGATAAAGAGAGCAGTTTTAACATACGTCGACCCCATTCTACTTCCAAAAGTGAGCGAAAGAAGATCTGTGTTGTACCGCAGTAAACAGCATTATAATTAATACATTTGATCTAGGGAACGGGGCCGGGAGATGGGACGGGGTTGTTCTTAGCAAAAAAGGAAAGGTGGAAATGGAAATGTGTTGATTGCCTGTATATATGTATCCATGAAAGTTGGCTCCGTACACTTCTTAACCTCTGGAGTATTCATCACGAACATAAGCATTAATGCCAAGAACTCCAGCAAACAGAAACGGAAACGAGAGACGGAAACGAGAAAAACAAATCAAATCGAAATCAAACCACAGAGACATTCCACGAAGCGCCGTATCCATTGTACCCTACCCCCCGCAAATTCCACGGCGACATTTCCTGCTGCGTATTCCCGCCCGCATCCGTGGCGCGGCTGTAGATCGTCTTGTTTTTCCCCCTTGTTACCTCCACCTCTGCCCTCCAGAGCACCCAGCTCCACTTGCTCTTCTGCCACTTCATCTTCATATCATTACTGTCACCATTGCCATCACCATCCTCTCCATAGTCCAGCTCAGCATCAACCCACGTCTTGCCCCCATCAGCCGAAACCTCCACGCGCGTCACAGGGCCCTCCGCCCCCTCCGGCACAGCAAAGCCCTTAACCTCAATCTTCCCCGAGGCGGGCAGCGTAACTGTTTCGTCATCGTTTGGCACAGCAACAACGGAGTTGATGGGCATGGATTGCATGGAGGGGACCTTGGCCCAGTACTGCTCAGCGATTTCCCAGGTGAGGGCTTCTGGGGGCAAGATTTTGTAGTCGTGCTGTTGGTAGAAGCTTGGGGATTCGTGGGGGTGGACGGAAATGGTGTCGAGCCATTTTACCCAGCGGGCGCCGGCGACGCCGGGGACGACGATGCGGACGGGGTAGCCGTATTCGGGGAGGAGGGGTTTGCCGTTCATCTGGATATGTATTAGTATAATTATAAAAAGAAAACGGGTTTATTGTGATTTCTTTCGGGAAGGGGATATTCTTACGTCCAAGGCGATTATGACCTCCCTGTCAAACTCCATGGCTCTCCACAACTCGATGCTGGCGCCATAATAGCTGTCATCCTCACAGGGAAGCAGGCTGCAGTTAAAGTGGACATGCATCTCCGCCTGTTCTGCCTCCCCCGCGGTATCATTGTTGGTATTGGCGGCACGGGAACCATCATTTCTATTATTATTATTATTATTATTATTCTTGCTGTTTTGTAGCCCATTCGCAATCGTGTTGGACTTCTCGTTGGCAGTTTCTTTATTCTCCTTTCGATCTTGATCCTTAACCATTTCCGTATCATTACTATACCCCTTAACCCCGGCTTTGATCAGCACATCCCGGAGTCTCGGGCCGCTCCAGGTGCAATTCATGACGGCGCCATCCATCCAATCGAGGCCCACGACCTCCTTGAGCTTGGTGCGCATGGTATGGCGGCGGTTGCCAGCGCATTGCAGAGCGCTCAGAACCTCATGCTGGGGGAACTCATGGCGCAGCTGGTCCACGGACAGGCGGAGTGGGCTCGCTACATCCCCAGTAATGGAGACGGTGTGGGTTCCCGGATCGAGGTCAGGGATAGCGCTGTGGTTGCGGTTGTAGGCATCTGGGGCTGGAGTGAGGAACCTGACCGGGGGAGGGGGGGGTGCGATTGACGTTAGCTTATAGTTAAACTCATCCGACAAACAACTAATAGTGGATAGGATAGTTGGATTAGGGAGGGGTATAATGGATTGAGTGTGAGTGGTGAGTGGTGAATGGTGAGCGGTGATGCGCCACACAGATCACGCAATTCGGGGCTAGCAGGCATCTGGATGAAGAGATCGCGCAATATACACACGCAGTATACACACGCAGTATACACACGCAGCATACACACGCAGCACACACACGCAGCAAACACATGCAGTAGGCAGGGGGGCAAGGGACACCGGGACTTGGGCTTACTTCGACACCAGCTCGGACAGAGGAGCTTCTCGGTTCAGAGGGCGCTCGGGCACCGCCAGGGGCTGCGGGCAAGTCTTCTAGAATGGCGTTAGAAGATCCACAACCTCAGAAAAGGACGTCTGGCATAGATGGGGCGCGTGGTTGATGGTTGTGTTATGTTCCTGTCTCGATCACATCAACCGCCTGACGTGATGATAACTAGACACCACAGATTACCCACTTCATCCACGCACTCCCTTTCCCTCACTCACCGATATCATGGCTGAGGAATTTCTTTCTTCTGTTTATTGGTTCGATTTCTCCTTTTTTTTTTTTTTTTTTTTTTTTCTTTCTTGATATTGTTATTCTCAGACTCTTCTTCACTCGTCAAGCCAAAGGATGGGATAGAAAGAAAGTTCCCAAAGAGAAAGAAAGCCGATGGAGCACGTCAACTTCGGGTGGGGGGAATTCAGCTGATGTAACTTGATCAGTTACTTGGTTCAGTGGTCTACGGAGTTCTGCGGCTTTTTTGTTCCCCAACCCTCGTCAAAACCACCAAATATCCTGTGGTCGATTCGATTTCTCTCTCGATAGCTAATATTCAATAAAAACAAATTGCAAAACAAAACTTCTATGATGGATCAGTCAAATAAATGAGCTACAGTTGAGTTCCGTGGGAAATCGGTCGATGTATCATGGATTCCGTGCATTCCCCTTTCCTCCCTAACCCACCCCAGGCTTTCGAAACGGGCTCTGGTTATGGCTCTGGCGATTCCATCATTTACTCTCTGTATTACTACTAAGACCAGTTTTATATGTTCCATGATACCATGGAACTTACATCCGTGGAACTGTCCATGAGTAAGGCTAAAGTATATATACAGTTTGCTGGAAAACTAAATTTAGCTAGGGTGGTGGCAACTATTCCTTCCAATGTCACGCTCTTAGTTAAACTAGTTACGCTTGTAAGATGACACCTGTTATGGTTTCAATCTAGGCGCAGATAAAACGGATGTTCGATTGCCAGCTACGTAAGCTATTTCAACGAAATACTAAGATGCTCTACGAAACGTGTTTATATATCCTCTTTCCCACTAACGGTTGCTATGCCGTTGCTAGGCAGTTTCTGTAGGGTATTTGTTTGCGGGGTAGTAGTTTTGCGGGGTGCAGTTAACTTCCTTAGGGCGCCCAGTAGCAATACGCCGTCATAATAGCCATCACAACACCCACTTGGGCCACGCACAATAGATTGAACCTTCCAACCAACTCAACGCGATTTATCTTCACAAAATGAGCTCTCAACGCGGAAATATCTATTCAAAAAGTCATTGATGAATTAGAAAATAATCACTTATTTCTTCTGTTAAGGCTGCAGTTTACAGCTTCAGCCTCTCGAGAATGAGCTGACAGAATTTAAATGTGATATAGTTCATCAGCAGCAGTAATTTTTAATAAAGGTTCAGACAAGAAGAGTTTTGTAAAGGCTTGGTGACCTCGATGCCGGGATTAGGTTTATCCCTATCATGTGATCTCGGTGCCAGGATTAGGTTTATCCCCACTATGGATTGTTTCCGGGCAGAACCCGTCAACCCCAAGCTTATTAGTATTTCGTTAATAGCAGTTAGCACCGCGGAGAATGTTTTCCTATGCAGCTCGCATTCACTCCCTTACAAATTTCAGATTTCTGATTGAAGATTTGACTCTTGCTCTCTTGCATATATGTGTATAAGAAATGATCTTCTGAATTCTGAAGATGAATAGGAACACCACTCTTCTTGATAAAAAGTAGATTACTAAATTTCCTAAGTTACAGTTTTAAGTTTTATTTTATTGAAAGTTAATTAGTTAGCTTTATAATTATTTTAATAAATTATAAATATAAAGGGCTCATGATAACACAGGCTCCGGCTTTGGTACGGGCGACCGAGGCCCCCGGCACTATCAGAGCAGCGCTATCAAACAGCGCATCCACCACTGAGGCCTTCGAACAACGCCTCCACTCTATATTACCGAGGCGGCGCCTCTACCACCGAGGCAACGCCTTAGTCATCCTCGTACAAAGCCCTTTAATACTGAAACCTTCTCTATATAAAAGCAGCCTGATTCCTTCATGATATCTTTCTTTTTTTTCCTTCCTTAACGATTTCTTTCTGTTTCTATACGCGTTAGATATTAGCTGTTTTCAATGACTAGCCCGTCACAATATAAGTATAAAATAATATATAATAAAAATTTTTATTTAAAGTTTTATAAATAATAATAATAATAATAATAATAATAATAATAATAATAATAATAGTAACTAAATATTTTAAATTATAAATATTTTAATATATTTTTATTCAATATTTAAATTTATTATATTTATATCTTTTTTTTTTTATTTATTAAATTATTATTGTCATGGCTCAACTAGAGTCAGGATGATAGTAAGACAACAGCTTCAATTCATCTAACTAAGCAGCTGCGATAAACTGGGTGGTTGCGGATCGGAACGGATGAACCTCCAGACCATAGCGGGGCGGATCAACCTTAATCCATATGCAAGCAGCTGCGCCGTAACTTATATTACTTGATTAAAATTAGTTAACTTATAAATAGTATATTATTAGTATTATTATATTATACTAACTAGCTGTTATGACTCAGTCTAGAATTGAGATGATAACAAAACAAAGCTTTAGATAGTCTACAACGAGAATACTAAGCTGGGGATAAGAATGTGGAATGAAACTGCAACCGAATATAAAGAGGTGATTGGGGATCGGAATGGATCAACCTTCGGAGCAAAGCGGATCAACCTTGAGAGCAGAGCGGATCAACCTTAATCCATAATACAAGCAGCTGCGCCGTAACACTAGTTAAAATTTGAAGAGTATAACCGGGCCCTAGTGGGTTGATTTCATAATCAACCTCCAGTCAGACCCTTGCATATGAGGATCCACCACCTCAATGTGAACCGCCACCTCAACATGAAATATTTTTTAAATATTCCATTCCATCTTCAAAATTTAATAATCAGTCAATGCAATGACTTCTTCATATATTTTAATAGAGAATAAGATCATGGAAGCTCTAGAATCTGTAGCTGATGTTGAAAAATATAATATTAATACATTGATAAGAGAATTCAATATTTTTTATTTATATTTGATCAATTGATTTTATGATCATTTCTCTTACATCAAAAGAACTCCTGCTAACTGATTACTATCTTCTGGCCAGAAAAAATCACTCTGTTAGTATATAGAAATACTAGATAAATAGATTTATCTCTCAATCAATTAATAATACTTGATGTTGTTTGATTTATTATTATATAAAATTATAAAGATTTTATTAATTTTTCACTTGAGATTAGAAAATATTGAATTAAAAGATTCATCAAATATTAATTTGAATGAATACAATTGTAGAGGATTAAGCTCTAAGAACTAGAGATTAGTCCTCTTATATAACAAAGATGAATTGCTTGAGAAAAGGAAGAAAAGAATGAGATGAGAACATGAGCTTAAGCAAGCTCATGTAGCATGATCATGTGCATATGTGCAAATGATGGCTAGGCTGAGTCAGCCAGCCAGAGTGAATCTAGGGGTTCAGCCTCTTATAATACCTTCTTTCTCTCTTTTTGTTGCAGGCCTTTACAACTATTTAAAGCTCTTTTTATATCTAATTTTGCCTGTTAAGAGGCCTCTCAAGTGATCAAAGTCTTCACTTCTTGTAGGAGACTCATGTCATTCCATGTAGACTCAGCTCAACTTACTTATTTAACAAGGTATTGCTTTTTTCTCTGATAGGTTTGTTCATTTCAAATTTTCTCAATCTCAAACTCACATTCTTTCAGGGTCTCTATAATGAGTGGCTGCCAACCAGTTTACCTCTGACTAGGCAGGGGATTCATTGCCACAGCATGTAGAAGCTTTATATTAAAGATATTATAAATGCTAAGTGAGATATTCAGTTGATAAGTATGAGATTCTATCTTTTCTAGCACAGTATATTGATTGTATTTTGCATTCAGCTTTTTGCACAGATGATTAGTTCTCATGTTCTCTAAGTTCAATCAGATCTTATCTCCAGGTTGAAAGCTTGAAGCTAGGTCTCTTCATCTATTTGTGTAGTTCTATTGAGATTGCTGAGCATTTGTCATTTTTACTTAAGTTCATTTCAACACTTTGTGAACTTTCCTCATATAATCATCTGCAAACTCAATGAGATTACATGATGTTTTAACAGAAGGTGCATCAGCTATATCAATGAAGAAGATATAGAAAAAATATGTTAAAAAGAATGAACTCATGTCTGTTGAGGCAGCATCTCTATTATTGATGATCAGCTCTGTCAGAGGGAGTCATTCACATCAGTCATTTTGTTGAAAGCTAATACACTTACATAGATAGATTTTCAGAGTCTGATTTATTCACTCTGTAGCTCTGTCAGTCTCTGAGTAATAGACTATGAAGAGTCATCTCTTAATGTATAATTTCTCACACATCTGAGTTCAAAACATGCTTGTGAAAGCTGACCCTCAATCTGACACTACTGCCTTATAGATGTCATGTCAAGAGATGATGTTATGAAGGAACACTTTAGTCACTATCTCTGCATCAGTTTTCTTAACTGCTTTTAATATAATTCTCTTAGTCAGTCTGTCTATTATAATTATAATATTTATATATTTTTTAGAGCTTGATAAGTTCACAATAAAGTCTATGAAAAGCTCCTGCTATATATGTTCAGGAATGAGGAGAGGCTTAAGTAGTCCCTGATATTGATCTCTTTATGTGATGTTTAATCTGCAAAGATGACAGTTTCTGATCATTCTTCTCATATCAGCAGCATAGTCTGATTAGTAAAACTCATATCTTAGAACTTCTACTGTTTGCTCTTACCCAGAATAGCTAGTAAGAGATGAGTCATAAGTCTTATACACTAATCTGATTCAAAGAGGTTTGAAGTCTAGTACTCACTTATGACCTCAAAAGAGAAGCTCTCTATTCTTATTTAAAGAGCACTCAGAGACAGAGATCTTAATGCTGAGTTCAGAAGAAAATCTGAATCTTTTCTCATGAAAAGTTTGCTTCAGATACTGCAGAATCTTGTCATTTTTGTAAGCCTCATTTCACTGAGCTTGAAGAGACATCTCAGATTTCACACTGACAGTGACCACTCTTGATTCCATTCTAAATACCAGTATATTAAACTTAAGTAGTTGAGCTTGTCTCTGCTTGATTCTCTCATCATCAATGCTATGTGACATATTCTGCTCTCTTCATGATAGAGTGTCTAGTTCAGCATTCAACTTCTTTAGCTGATAATCAATTCTAAAGTTGAATTGATAGAGAATATTCATTCAATGTAGCTGTCTTTCATTTAGTCTGTATGTAGTTATGAAGTATTATAGATTCTTATGATCTGTGAGAATCTTAAATTCCTTTACACTTTGTAGCTTAGCATTTCATTTCTTTAAACACTCAATTATTGCTAATAACTTCTTATCATGAATCTCATAGTTACATTCTGCAGGTGAATGCTTGCAAGAGAAGAAGGCACATGGGTGTAGAATACTCTGCTCATTGTTAGGGAGCGAATGCGAGCTGCATAAGAAGAAAGACTCTCTCTGCGTTGCTAACTGCTATATAACGAAATACTAAGCTTGATGGGATGAAAGGGGGTGCTGGGGGCCTGCGTGGATTATAACCACCTGCATGGTCGTGTGGTCACGTGATATGGATTAGGCCTAATCGGGCGCCGAGCTTAATCCGACGTCGAGTCTAACCGGGCACCGGCCTTCGGTCGGGCTCGGTCGGACGCTGAGCCTAACATCACCCCCCGGTCTAGGGGCAGGCATGTCCTCATGCCGGTAGGTCGTCATCAACCTCGTCCTTCAGGTAGCTGTCTGTCTCCCATGCCTTCAGCCACTCATCTAGTCGCCTTGGGGGTCCAGCTTTTGTAGGGTTAGCCTCATGGAAGTCGCGTATGGCGTGTGGTGATCCTTTGAAGTCGCGAGCGGGGTACCATGAAGAATCCTCATCAAACCCCTTCCAGCGCACCCGATACTGCAGCTTGCTCCGGCTTATTCTACTGGCCAGTATACGATCTATTTCCCATTCATTCTCACCATCTATTTCAATTGGGTCTGGTGGTCTGATAGTCTGGCCAGGTAGAGGGTCTCTGGAGTCCTTGCGTAGCTTGTCTGGGGAGAAGATTGAATGAATTTTCATTGTTATGGGGAGGTCCAGTTTGTAGGCATTGCCCACCTTTTCCAGGATTCTGAAGGGGCCGGCATTCTGCTCTGCCAGTTTACGGCTTGGTCGATCCATCTTGTATGATTTCAATGTTAGATAAACAAAATCTCCTACTGCAAAGTCAGGCTCTCGATGGTGCTTGTCAGTCTGCCTCTTCATCTGTTCCTGTGCTGTCTTTATGCCTTTACTCGCCTGGTCCCAGATCTCTCTCATTCGA